TACATGTAACATTAGTTTTCTGTATGCAACAAAAGCAACAACAAAATGCAAGTGCAACGTCTCTTTGGTGCGGAAATGTGGCAAGGTAACAGTAGAGCGTGCAGTGTGTGGGACAAGGTTACCGAAGACTTTGTCGGTGTGCTTTCAGAGCAAGTAACAAGGAATTTTTGTTTAAAGCTTACTATGCGCATATTACAGCGTTGCTACTCCCCTCTTGCATTTAGTTTATGAAAATGGGTTTGTTGACTTCGTAGGGTGTTACTAGAGCTCGTCGATAAATACTGTGCTCATATCAAAAATGTTATCAAATATTACTGTTATTGCAAATGCTTAAATTTATAGTTCAATTTAGAAGAATTGCAACGTTGTGCGATAAGTATGATAAGTTTGCGTTTAAAATGAACTCAATTTCAGACAAAGCCAAAAATGAAGTTGCAAGGAGGCAGAAGCGACTACGTAGGTATTTTTACAGAAACAAGAGAAGAAGTATAGTAGCAGTCTTCGATTCACCAAACATTACACAATCGTGAATTGAAGTAACTACCATATACCAGCTGTTCAACAGACGCCTTAGTTTGGAGAACCTTGATGCTTTATGGTTTCCTCGAAAAATTGTATTTTAAATCAAAACTCTAGTTATTAATATATATCTGATATTTGAGCCAACTTTAATTATAATAATAATAATATTAAAATTTGTCGGAAATCTGTAGAGCAAAACTTGATAGCATTGGATATCGCGGTAATTTTAATTTAAGGGTCACAGCAAGTGTGACAGAACACAAAATGGCAACTTTTATGTATTAAAAAAAATAAAAACAAAAAAAAAAACATTTAAGACTGTATCAATTGTCTTAAAATTTTAAGGGTACATTTATGCATGTTTTGAAAATACACAATCTTTTTTGGCTTGCCAAAATTTGATCAGATCAAACAACTGTATTGAGAACTACATATAGACCATGCAGAAAATTTGATAATGATTGCATCATTTGTCTCCGATCAATCACTGCAGCATATGCTAAAAATGCTGTTTCGAGAAAAACGAGTTTGAAGATTAACTGAAAGAGCTTATGCCCCTTAATGAGGCACACTCTTGCTCTGTTATATCAAATTCAACTCGCCAACATTGTTATTGCTTTTAGGTGTGCACTTTTTAACATAAAAGCAGTGTTAAAATATGGCATGCTGAGAAATGGCGAATCGAAGACGACTAAAAATATAATTCTTAACACTCTTATAAGCATATGGAGGTCAAAACTACTGAGGGAACCTTTAAAAGATTAAAAGATAGTAAAACAATTATATATAGTGATATCTATTTAGTTTGAAATTATATAAAAATTAAAACTAAATTTATTATCTAATTTGACAGAATTATAAAAAGTCTCTTAAGTCAAGAATTTGTTGATTAAGTAATATTATTTATACTCATAACGCTAACTTTTCTTCCTATTTGGCGGCAAATCTTGAACACTTGCTCATGCTTCATACATTTTACAACCACAACCATTTTACAATGGGTAATTATTTCTGCTTATGTTTTAGTTTGGAGTTAAACCTCGATGCATTTATCAATTACACATAAGCAATGCAGCTGCGGAAATGTGCATGCGACACTAAACATTAATAATCACTTATGCGTAAACTAATCATCGGTTTAGATGCACGCAACCAGGCGTCCATAAAGCTAAATTACGCACATACTCATATCCATTCATATATGGTATACATGTCCTTAATATATTATACTTATTACCATACATCTCCATAAATTAAAGTAATCAGGCGAAAGTTCAATAAACAGCATCTACATGCAAAACGTAGCAATATCATGTGCATACGAATTTATATTTGAAGATAATTTTTAATGTTCAAATAACTCGAATTTTAACTTTTGGATTTGTGTTTATATATATAAATAATTATCATATATTTAAGAAATTTGAGAAGCACATAATCATACGACCCCTTTTGAATTGACATAAGTGGTGAGTTAAGTGGTGCTAATGATGATTCTGAGCCCGGTTAGAGTCAAATATTTCATTAATTATAAAAAATTCAGATTAAGTAATTACTTAGAAGTAATTAGCAATAATTTATAAACTTCTGTTTGCTTTAAGGCTGCTCTAAGTTCGACCTTATAACTGTTCTTCCGTCGCCAACACTTGTAGAGTGGTGAGTCGAACAAGCAACTCGCTTAAGCCAAAACAAAATCGCATTATGAAGTACTGATAGAAGAAATAGCGGTTTACCACACCAGTTAGGTAACCTTAAACTCTTCTATAATTCTCGAAAGATTAGGAAATGTCTCACTGGAAATTATTTATAATCATTAACTTTTAATTTCTAGTTTGTTTGAAATTTTGTGTTTCCAGTGAAGTCACGACCGTAAAGTCATCGAGAACTTGCCTAATGCCTCTGTTAATGACGGTAACATCGAACAAGTTAAAGAATCTGTGCTTTAAAATCGTCATGTTGGCATTAGAGAAACTGCAATGGATCTCAACATCTTTAATGAATCGACTCAGCCATTTCGGTTAGTGTTTTGGGTATAAAGACATAAATGCGGCGTCACATACTAGCATGGTTGTAACTAACGCGATGAGTCTGTTGACCCAATGTATAAAAATCACTCAACCAACTTTTGCCGTTGTAAATAAACAGCTCCCAAATGCACATTAATTGACATATACATATGTATATGTATATGACATATATATGTATATATGTAAAGATCAAACGAGCATAAAAAGGCTGTACCAATTGAAAAAAACTTCACACAGTTTATGCGGACCTGTTCGGGTCATATTTGATCGAGTGCATACTTTTCTATACTTTCTAAATGGCAAATGATTACCTCATGAAAAATCAAATTTTGATTAATAGTTTTCTGCGTGCAATAATATGCTCATAGTTTTGCCTAAGGTGCCCTATATAAGCAATTTTGTGTGTCTACTCGTTCATAAGCTTACTGAGTGTTGTAAGCATCAATTTTTGTTGCGCTTCTGCTTGGATATGCACTGTGATTAAAGTGAAATATTGCCATTTCCTCGCTGTCATGAGACGTGCAGCTCGTAGGATTCAGTGTTGCAATTAAGCTGAGCTGTCAAGTTATGCGCTTTAGTGAAGCGCCACAAATGTTCATTTGGCAATTTGCAATTTTGCAACTCTATGGCTTTTTAGCCTCCACTAATAGAAGTTTTTCCATTGTACAGTGCTGACTTTCATTACCGTTATACTTTACAATACAGTTATGTACTGAAATAACGGTATGCGTTTCTGAATTATAACTACTCATAGGGTTATAGTTGTTGCAGTGTTGTTGTTGCCAGCGTTGTCTTTTTGTATACTGGATACTGGTTTTGCTAAGCGCTACCAATAGCGACTTTGATGGAATTAAATTGCCAATTACGAAGCATGACTGCTTCAGTGGTGGCGGCTGTCATCTCTTTTAATGCTTGGAAAATATGAGCTCGGCACGTAAAGCTTCTATTGATAGCAGTAATTTCATGTCAGTTGGCTTAAATGATGGCTCAAAGGAGCTCAAATGCATCGCACTTAATTAATATTGACACTTTTGCCATACAATGTCCTTGTGGCGTATGTGTGCGCGTAATGAGTGGATTAAACTCAGAACGGTGTGTGGAGAAAATAACAGAAAAAGAAGTTTGGCTGTTTTCACCAAATAATTGGGAAACTACTGCGATGTTGACAATATTCCCCGCAGTATAATTGATCCTGCCGTTAGTACTTATCTCTAAAATAAATAGAGAATAAAGACTAACGGATCTGGTACCTCGTTAACTGGAACAAAAAGTGGCATCACGAGATGTTAGAAATTTAGCGTTTTGGCATCGTGACTTGCTTTTATGCTGACTATCATTTTACTGATGATGACGAGGTTCTTTTTACGAACAAAATTTACGGTCAACTTTAAGGATGTACAGGAGAAATGTCATGAACGATATAACAACTTCGAAATATTCGTAGACGCGCTTTGAAAGTTTTCATACGGAAACATTAATTTGAAAAAGAATTCTCACCAACTTGCGAAGTGAGAAAACGATCGTCATTGTAAACCGATTTCCTACCGTAGATCCAAAATAATACTTAGTACACACAACTGAAATATTTAAGCTTGCCACGAAGTTTGTAACGCCTAGAAGGCAACGTCGCAGACCCTATAAAATAGATAAATAAATGATCAGCGTGGGGACCTAAGTCGATTTGGCCATGGCCTTCTGTCTATCAGTATATACGCGAATTAGTCCTTCAGTTTTTGAGATATCGTTCTGTAATTTTGTAAACATCCTTTTCTTCCCCAGAAGCTGCTCATTTGTCCAGCCGATATTGGTCCACTATAGCATGTAGCTGCTATACAAACGGAACGATCAAAATCAAATTTCTTGTATGAAAGCTTTTGTATTTGTGCGTTATGTGTTTTTTCGGTGCAACCGAAGTTAATGTTTTACAATCAATTCCAAAAAAAAATATATTTTAGTAATACATATTGTTTTTAAATTTTATAAAATTTGTTACTAATATTACATGCTGTTTGTTTATTGTAAAAGTGTCAAAATCACCCTGTGCTAATTTTTGGGCGATTCTTTCACTTTCACTTTTATTTTCATTGTTCACAAATTTCTTTGCGATTTCGTGATCAGTTTAGCTCTGTTCGTTCAACTGTTCACGCGTCGCGTGTGGAAACAAGCAAATTAATATTTATCGAAAAAAAATGTTTTCAGTCTTAAATATTCTAAATAAATAGAAATTACAAATTATTTGCATTCCATAAATTTGCGCTTTATAGCAAAATTCTCTCGGAGTTGTGCAAATCTTCACCAAGAAAAACGCTACGACATGGCCCAGCCATATAGACAAAGTGTGTCCCATTTCGTGGCAACAACTCGTTGCTTCCACATAACTCTAATACTTTTGGTTGCAATCAGTTGCTTGCAAATTGCAGCTTCGCAGAAGACAAATGTCGGTGAGTTGTCTTTTACTTTAGAAAGTGTCAGGCATTTATAGAAATGTTTTTCATATACAAATTTGGTTACGTAAAATGTCTTGAAAAAACGGCGCTGCGTCGCACTTGCTCGGTGCCCCAGTGCATTGCAGTTATTTGCGCCAAAGTGTTCCACTTAAGCAGAGCATCCAAAAAGCGCATTTCTCTTCGCTGCAGTTCACGAGGTACCTGTTTATTTTGCGTTTGAAAACAAATAAACATATAAATATACATAAATAACAAAATCTAAGTATATTTGGATTGACGCCAATCTATGGATAGACGCTAAAGTACCAAAGTAGATGGTATTTGGCGCGACGCCGTCGTTGTGATCGTTGCATCGTGTTGCAAAACAAAACAGAAAAACAAACTAAAAGAGTCTGGTGTGTTTTGTCGGATAAAGAAAAAGAGGCTACATTTATTATTTAGACTTTTGACTTAACAAAAAGTTTGTTTGTTATAAATTGAAAGAATCATATTCGTAAAACAGGGTTTGAGCAGGAAACTTACGAGACGAACTTACTTGTGAATTAAAAATCTGAAGAAATTTCAGGAGCAATAGTCTATGCCAAATTTCGTGAATATATCTTGTCACATAATAAATTTTCTAAACAAGAACTTGATTTTGATCAACCAGTTTGTATGGCAGCTAAATTATATACATAATGATTCGAAATCGGCGGTTCGGACAAATGAGTAGCTTCTTGGAGAGAGAAAAAAAAACGTGTGCAAAATATCAGATCGATATCTGAGATACTGAGAGACTAGTTATTGTATAAAAAGACAGACTGATATGGCTAAATTGACTCAGCTCGTTACGCTAATTATTTATGTACTTTATAGTTCAGGGTATAAAAAGGTTGGAAGGGTATAAAATGGATATAAGTTTGGAAATACGAGCTTCTCAATGTATCAATCGAGTCTTTGCCGATCTAGAAACTCAGGAAATTCTGAAAACCATAGAGAGTGAGCCCATCTATTCATGAATAACAAAGCAGGAAGTCCACTTAAAACTCTATAGTTTCATGAATGTGTTTCAAACTTCTTTAAACCTTGTTATTCACGAAGATTTATATTTAAGAAGGTAAAAGGTGAAATAATTGTATAGCACAACCCAGAATATATGACAATGTTACTCTAGTCTTGATTAGATCGTCCAAGACCTTCTTAATTTTAATATATTTAGGTATAAATGTGTAACGCGATGAATTTCCACAAGTCACAAACCTTTTACTTCATGGTGTTTAACTTTTCTTTTCATACACACAGGTTTAATCTACGAAAGTGACAATCCCGATATGGAGAAAATATTTCAAATAGCAATCGACAAAGCGAACGAAGAGAGCGGTGGTGCGCTCGAATTGCACGGCATCGCTGTGGCCATTGAACCTGGCAATGCCTTCGAAACATCAAAGAAACTCTGCAAAATGTTGCGGGTAAGCACAGTTGCGCTACAAATAAATATATTATATGTAAAACTGTTGCTTTACTCTGCTAAATTTTCATTGATGAACAGCAAAATCTAGTGGCCGTATTTGGACCCACCACAGATCTGGCCGCCAAGCACGCGATGAGCATTTGCGATGCCAAAGAGCTGCCATTCATCGATACACGCTGGGATTTCGGTGTCCAAATGCCAACAGTTAATTTGTATCCCCACGCCTCACAGCTGGCAGTGGCGCTGAAAGATTTGGTGGTGGCGCTGGAATGGACCGATACCTTTACAATCATCTATGAAACGGGTATGTAGCAAGCGAGGAGATGGCAGTGAAAGCTCTACTGTGATTGAAATTCAAAAATACTCGTAAACTCCAACAGGTGAATTTCTACCAACGGTAAATGAAATACTGGAAATGTATGGCACTACAGGGCCCACAATTACCGTGCGCCGCTATGAGCTTGACTTGAATGGCGATTACCGCAACGTGCTGCGACGCATTAAAAATTCCGGTGATTACTCTTTTGTCGTGGTGGGATCGATGGCAACGTTGCCGGAATTCTTTAAACAGGTGAGCTTTGTATGTTGAAGATGAGCTTCAGTTTTTGAATAATTTGGCAATTTTCTGTTAGGCGCAACAAGTTGGTCTTATGACTAATGACTATCGTTATATCGTCGGCAATTTAGACTTCCAAACCATGGACTTGGAGCCCTTCCAACATGGTGACACTAACATAACTGGTATACGTTTGGTCTCACCGGATGCGAAGATCGTGCAGGAGCTAGCAAAGACCTTATACGAAACGGAAGAACCTTTTCAAAATGGTAAGGCAATTATTTGTCAGTAAATATTTCGAGGTTGCCATGCTTAATACATACTTTTTCTATACGTAAATCCATAAATTGTTTTGTTAGATACGTCAAAATGCGTAAATTATTGCGTTTAGCTTTTTCCTACTTTGGTATTATTTATTTATGTTGGTGCACTCCAAAAAAAAATTAATGTTTCAATTTAGTAAAGTAGAAATATTTTATTTTCGACATCTTCTTACGTTATAAAATGGTTTGTTTATTTATAAATTAAATCATACTTCATTTTTGAAGCCTAGAAATTGTTTGAGAAAATTGTTTCCACGACTTACATCTATATTTTTGACCAATACATCTTAGGCACCACTATTCCAAGAGAAATTTACTGTGATATATTAATACATTCACAAGGTGTGAAATGGTCGCAAGGCTCTACCATGCCGAATTAAGCTACGAACTGTTGCCTCGTCAACTGTATTCTCCAGATTCGATTCAGTGCGACTTCTATTTGTTTATTTTGTTGCAAGAGTCACTCGCCACACAGAACATCGAATGACGAGGGTCTCCATGCCATAGAAATCTTCGTTGCTGACTTCCAGAAAAAGGTATTTCTCAGAAGAAAGCATCGAAGCATCAGCGTATCGAACTAATGGGAGATTATATTGAAAATATATTGGCATATTTCCAAATTTTCCGTTTTTCTTTTGTACGCTGAGTTCATCGGATCGGTCTTTTCGCGGCCTGTTGAGCTGGTAGTAATAATTTTAAGAACTACTTTCATATTTGTTTAAATTATTCAAAGATCCACATACATTTTTCTCTGGAATACGCCTTCTTTATACTCATAGATACATATTTATACTACCACATTTGCATAATTCATTTTTCGTGATTACTAATTTGAGACTTTTGTACAGCCGGAGCGAAAATTTATGATAAATAATGCAATGTTCAACTTTTGGCACACGATTACCACATGTACATACCTACATATATATAAATATATATATATGCATAAACAACCAAAAAATCAATCGCATATATGTAATTCTTAAAGACTTATTCAAATGAAGAATTTGTGGATGAACCATAGAAAAAACACTTACATTATTTATGATTATTTAATTATGTGTCACCGCTGTTGCCACCATTATTAGACGTGCACTAGAACTCTGACCGCAATAAGTGGCCCACTTAGGAGAGATATCAAAATTCCGCATTCACGGAACACTTGAGATTCCACACACATACTCCCATACACTTACTCCGCTCATGTATCGAATATATTACAACAAATATAAACATTACAAATAGATATACACAATTCCCACTTGGCTGTACACGTACTTACCTATACTTATACTATAAACGTCTATATATGTATGTATTTATGTATAAAACTTGTACCTATTATGTGCCACTTATATTTGCAGTGTCATGTCCCTTGACCACCAGTATGGCATTGGTGTACGACGGTGTGCAGTTACTGGCTGAGACATTCAAACATGTTATGTTCCGTGCGGTGCCATTAAATTGTAACGACGCTAGCTCATGGGACAAGGGATACACGCTCGTCAACTACATGAAATCGGTGAGTTAATGGAGTGACAACTAGTAACAAACACCCACACATGCAAACATTTACAGTTATTCGAGTACATGAGAAGTGTGTGCTCATCTTAAGCTTGAATTGGCTCAGCATAACACTCTGCTCAGTGATTTCCGCTCGCTTTCTTAGTGACTACTTTGCCACTCATCAAATCCTGAGTTTCATTTATGGTTTTCGCTTATACTGATGTGATTGTGTAATAGTCGGTCTGCGTCGGTGTGCTTCCATAATTAGTTCTTTTTTATGTATGTGTGTTTATGTTGGAGAATTAAAATATACACATTTAAGTGTCATCGGAATAAGGAAATACAGATTTCAGATCTTTCATAGGCATTTTGTGGTCATATCTGAAATTATTGTAAAATTATAATTTAGCTAATAATGTTTTATAAGCAATAACCAGTTGTCTTGAGATAACTCTTACCACGTTAAAACAACATCCGGTAAATACTGGATTTTGCAATCGATGACTATTAAGTGTTGTCTTTATATCAAGGTTTAGTGGACAGTCTCCTGTAAAAGTATTACATCTCTGAATTACTGTACCAGCTGGATGTTTTAGAAGGCGTGGTAAAGCAATTAAGCAATTCTCTCTTCGTTGAAGAATAGTCGTTTCTGCCAGTAAGATTCTGCTCCAGCACACAAGGTAAAACCACACAGCAGTGACTTAAAAGCAATATTGCTGCTTTCATAGCTGCATATGACTGGCCATCTGGAAGTTCAGATTTGAAACCATTGGACTAAAGTTTGAGTTGAGAGCTGGAGAATATGGCCTATTGAATACCCCACGGAAATTTGCAGATTCTCAAAAAATCTTTGGTTAGAACAGCGTAGTCAATACCATTAGAAACTATGTGCACTGTTATTATATAAATATAAATGACCGAATCGCTTGAGGGCTGTGAAAGCAAGAGGTGACTATTTAAAGCTTCTCGAACGCCCTATTATTTCAAGCAAGTGCTTGCGGAGATAATTTCTTCGATAACATTCAAGAGTAATACTTCTTACTAAGCCTACTAGACTTCGCTGATTACGTCGCGTTTAAGGAACATCACTAGCACTGTCTTCTGTGTTCTGGCATGTCTAGAGGTAAACCCTTTCTTTGTATATTGTCGACTAATTCGCATGGGAAGTAGGTATTAATTAATATTAAAAATTAAAAGTTTTGACAATTAAATTACATCCATTGTATTGCGTCATCAGATGCTAAAAGTAGTCATATTCGATGACAACCTTTTTTTCCAAATATTTTCGTCTGAATGCTATAGTATAGCGCTAAAAGTTAATAACATAATGAATATACGTCCAAATGTGGAAAGGGACTTCCTTTACCGAATCATGAACACAACTTTTATGACTCGCAAAACAAGATTATTTTTTCCCTCTTCACAATCACAAACTATTTTCATTACCTCAGCTACATTTATATTTATGTGTTTATATACACTTGTAAGCGCTTTAACGCTCACATTTTTTATACACTTTCAGTTAAGCTTAAATGGACTCACCGGCGAAGTGAAATTCGACTACGAAGGCTTGCGCACCGCTTTCGTACTGGACGTGATTGAGTTGTCCATGTCGGGCATGCAGAAGATAGGTGAATGGAAAACGGAGGACGGGTTCTTCGCTAATCGACCGCCACCAAAGATAGTGGAGGTGGATCAGCGTTCGTTGGTGAATAAGAGCTTCGTGGTTATAACGGCCATAGTAAGTGTTGCTTTCACAAGTTTGTTTAGTAGACGCATACATACATACGCCTGTACTACTATATATAATATGTAGGTGCTACAATATACGAACACGTGTATGTCTGCTTAACTGTTTAATAGGATGATTACTTTTCGGCTGGAAGCTTAAGTCGCCGGGAAACTGGCATAGTAAAAGTTGCATATTTAAACATTTTCAAATTATTTTCTTTTACCTTTTACTTATATATTACCGTATATGTATGAGTATATTAATTCCCATTAAATTTCTTTTTCTCGTTTCCCTGCACTCAGAGCGAACCGTACGGCATGCTGAAGGAGACCGCTGCTAAATTGGAGGGCAATGATCAGTTCGAAGGCTTTGGCATTGAGTTAATCGAGGAGCTGGGCAAGAAATTGGGTTTCACCTACACTTTCCGTCTGCAAGTGGACAACAAATACGGTTCGTTCAATCCGAAAACGGGCAAATACGATGGCATGATGCTGGAAATAATCGAAGAAGTAAGTACTCGATGACACATGCTGAGACAGTCGTCAGTCTGATAAATTGCATGCAATTTTATATCATAATTTATTTGTTTTCTTCCTCCCTGTCAATCGACTCTGACGAACTGAGCGTATTTACTTAAGTAAACATATCCGCACCGTTAGTTGGGTGCATACATAATTGTGTATATAACTGTATATAAAATTCACAACAAATTGTTGCGATTTGTATGATTTATTGTGTATGTATTAGTTTGAAAGGCGGCAGTTTACAGCCATAAATATCAAACATTGATATCAATAAGGTCTCGCCTTTACCCTGTGGGCTTAAGGCATATTTCATATTACCGTGATTTCAACGGACCGATTTGTGTATTCCCGATATTGAAAATACTTTAATGAGCAGATAAAGTTATCAATTCCTCTTTTGGAAATCAAATGACCGTCATTAACATAAATAGCTTTCGTTCATTCAAAGTCATATACTGCAGTATATATTGATAGTTCTACATTTGCCGGCACTCATTGAGTAAGTTATTCAAATGGTGCGGCCTTTTGTCAAGCTTAGTGCGTAAATACATAGGTATGTATGTTCGTTATGTATACACATATATAAATATGTTTGTATTGTCTTGTATACATTTAGCACCTTGTAGGAAAATTTTGCAGCATCAGACACAGTTCATATGAACTTACGAAAGTGGTTAGGCCATTAAAGTTTCTTCACAAAATGCCCAACATACACAATTTGTTTTGAAAATAAAGAAAGAGGGATAAAATTTCTCTGTTTGAGGGTTTATAAACCTGAACTTGTGTTAACGAAAAAATTCATATTGAAATATTTATATCATTTAATATTCGACGAAGCTGGTAACCTCTGTTATCTGAACAGGGGTCTTAGTCTATCAGTTTCAAGAAAAACGTGTTTACAGTGCTGATTTTATGGACATGAATTCTGCCACACTACAGGAAATGTGCCTCTCCCTTCCTTCGGGGGTTCACTTCTTCAGCCTGCTGAGAAAGTGAAATACCTAGGGCTCATCCTCGATAGCAAACTTTCCTGTATTAACATGGGTGGAGGTTTCCTGAACATGACAGTAGCTGAGTTTCTCCAATATACCGAGCTTTACTAGAATTATTATAAAGTCCATTAGAAAAAATACATTCTAAGATTGTTTTTCGTCTTAACTGTGGCCAATACATACTTTACAACAACGCATTTCAGTAAGATCAAATCCTACACAAACTTCCTCGCTGAACTAAATAAATCGGTATATTTTTTTTCTAGATAAGTCATTTTATTCTTGAAAGTCATTTATTTTATGCCAGAAGTCAGAGCATTCTGCCGTTTAATATACTCTTTCGCTGAGCCATCTCACAGTTTTTCTCTTTTTATCCGACATTAAACATTCAAACTGTTTCTTGATAATGAGAAACATCATATCAATGACAAGAATTTTCTACAGGGTATATTGCTTCTTTGGTCAGCAAATCATCTCCTCTATCTTATCAACATTTTGCTTCGTCTCCGCATTTCGCCTTGCAACTCTGCGTAATTAATTCAACCACAATTACGGTTGGCGTTTATTTTCATGGAATTACCGAGATATTTAGTAAATGATGAATAGCTTATCCCAATAAGTAACCGAATTTGTGTAGATACAGCATTCACTGTTGGTTAGATGTAACCAAGTAAACCCCAAAATGTACTAGGATCTGTTTGCAAGTTTCCTAAGAGTTATTGTATTCGTGTACTTTTTTGAGGAGTATTCCGTAGTTATGGAATCTAATCTATGGATGGCACTCATCTGCGATGTTTGATTACCAACAGTAAGTGGTTTCACTGTGGTGAATCTGCCGATATTGTGCTTTATCATAAAAGGAATTTCGTCTCAATTTCATTTAATATAAAATAGCTCAGAAAAGTCCACATCCTTTTTAAGTAGTTTTGAGTGGTAACAGAATGCACAATATGAAAATTAGCTGCACTCAAAATTTACTAGGTAAAATTTCACCTGATGGATATGTTAAATATATATGTAGTTTAAAAACTGTTTTCAAGGTTTATAGGTTGGACAAAAATCGAACCTATTACGAGTATAATGGTTTCCAATTGCAGAGTCTAAATGTTTTCTCATACCGTTTGGTTTGGTATGATTTTAATATAGTTCTAGTATGGATAGTAAATGTTTTTCGGATTTTGGTTCCGTGTATAACAGTTTACATTCAGCGCAATACTATAATAAGAGTACTATAAATCTATGTAGGCAGGCTTCCTAATGGAGAAGTTTAACTATTTTAAGTCGTCTAAGCATTTATTGGTTGAATTCATAATAAAAATGGTTTTCTGGGAATGCCATATGCCTACATTTATAATACACATATGACTTGGAAGTGACGCAAATTACTCACATTACTTATGTACCTATACAAATATCCACCATTGTCCAATCCCTTCAAAACTAATTGCAAATCGTAAATAATCAAATGAACCAAAACAAATATTGCTTATGTATACACATGTGAATGTATAAGAAATTTCTGTAAAGCTTGAAACTTTCTCATGGATTTATTTTTTTCATATTAGCGAGCCGACATGGGCATTACGGACTTGACCATGACATCGATACGTGAGGAAGGAGTAGATTTCACTATACCGTTCATGAACTTAGGTGATTTATAAAATGAAGCAAACGAAAAGGTTCAATACCACAGTTTATCAATCATAATCCATTAACTCGTGCATATCAATTATCACAAGCACACACTCATACAAATATATAATATATACAAACTTTACTAGGAAGGGCCTATAACTAAGGAGTTAGTAGAGTTAAATTTGCGATTATTTTTGACTTCATTTTACTTATCATATGTACACTTACACTTCATATATGTAAGTGCTAGCGAATGCTGGTAGAAAAGCATGTCCTCAAAATTTACATTCTCACATTACATCCTTGAGCTCAACAATTCATCTTTCTTCTCATCAGTTAGTAACATTTCTTTTTCTCCTTCAAAAGGTATCGCCATTTTATTTCGCAAGCCGATGAAGGAGCCACCGAAACTCTTCTCTTTCATGTCACCATTTTCTGGCACTGTTTGGATGTGGCTGGGCATTGCCTACATGAGTGTCTCACTCACGCTCTTCATTTTGGGACGCATCTCGCCAACGGAATGGGATAATCCGTATCCGTGCATTGAAGAGCCTACGGAACTGGAGAACCAATTTAGTTTCCCTAATTGCTTGTGGTTCTCCATCGGTGCACTGTTGCAACAAGGCTCTGAATTAGCGCCAAAGTGAGTACACGTCTAACGGCTACTTGTATGTTCGACTAAGTATGTAAGTACGCATGTATATAAGTGAACGTCGAGTACACTTATGCAATATATACAAGTAGATATACAGATAGTTGGTTGAGCCACCACAAGCACAAAATCACACTTGCATATTTAGACATTGCCGCTTTTCGCTTTCACCAAAGTGCTGGTGTACTTTTGCCGTCAAAGAAATTAATTTTGTTTCCAGAGCATACTCAACGCGCACTGTGGCCTCAATTTGGTGGTTTTTCACGTTGATTTTGGTCTCTTCGTACACCGCAAATTTGGCTGCTTTTCTGACGATAGAATCGCTCAGCAGTCCCATAGAGAATGCCGAGGACTTGGCCAACAACAAGGGTGGTGTGAAATATGGCGCCAAAGTGGGTGGCAGCACGTTCACATTCTTTCAGGTGAGTTCCGGGTAATGTGTATGTATGTGTGTCTGACGTGAATTTCTGTTGTACATATTTACTGTCATAGGATGCTAAGTATCCAACGTATCAGAAAATGTACGAGTTTATGCGCGACCATCCGGAATATATGACCTCAACCAATGCGGAAGGAGTGGATCGCGTGGAAAATGAGAATTATGCTTTTCTAATGGAGTCAACCACCATTGAATATATCACCGAGCGACGTTGCAGTTTGACACAAGTCGGTTCACTGCTCGATGAGAAGGGTTATGGAATTGCCATGCGAAAGAGTAAGTATGAGATGAAATTAAAGGTTTGAAACAATACAAATAAATTACAAATTTTTTTGAGAGACTTACCCGGGGACCAAAGAAATGATATTCAAGCTTACTACATCAAAACAAAACAAGTAAATTGGTCTGAATTTGAGAGTAACAAAAATTAGTCTTCTAACTAAAGTTAGCATTCTACGTTTTGACAAGTGTTAAAGAGGAGTGAATCGAACACATTATTTCAGTTCTTCAAACAGATTGGCGGTATTGAGGAGCAACCGCCCAAAATAGCTGGATTAATGATCCCGGAAATGGGCTCGCAAGGTGTTTCACTTTGGCTAGAGATGGTAGTGGAGAAGTATATTGTGGTGATGTAGCTGGCATCGGAAAGGTGGTTCCTGTAGCTGAGTCTGTTTGACACCGAGAACATTGCAAAGTCAAAAACCTTAAGCAAATCCTTTTATTTAAATATATTTTTATAGCTACTTCCTTCCTCTATCGACCAGTTATTTTGGGAACTTCCCGAGAACTATGCTTTCACAAATATTTGTTTGGTTGATGTCAAGGGACATAAGGACAAGACGGATAATTGATAATTCAAGTGTAAAATCTCTTCTCTCTGGACTATAATTGAGAATTTAAAATAGCGAAAACATAATTTTCCGTTATTATTTCAGATTCACTAACATTTTTTTTTAAATTAAGCTTATTAAAAAAAAATTAAAAAACCAGTACAAAAACATTTAAATCTGGCAACACGTTCTAGATTGGCCCTATCGTGATACGCTCAGTCAGGCTGTGCTAGAACTGCAGGAGCAAGGCGTTCTTACCAAAATGAAAACAAAATGGTGGAAAGAGAAACGTGGTGGCGGTGCATGCTCGGTAAGTGTTCAGTTCTCAAACTAATAAAGTTCCAGCTAAAATAAACTATGGAAAATAACCAAATTTTGTGGCAAGCAAAATAAAGAGGCAATGTTAAAATGCTATTATTTCCGAAGGACACCAGCAGTGAAGGTGGCGCAGTGGCCTTAGAGCTAAGCAACTTAGGTGGCGTTTACTTGGTGTTGATTGTAGGCTCTTTCTTTGGTGTGCTGGTGGCATTCCTTGAAATGGTATTGGGTGTGAAAGAACGCTCCGATGAGAATAAGGTAGACAGAATAAAGAAAGCTGAGAATCGATATTTGTGAATTTATTATAAATATGCTCCAATGCTTTTAAGTCCTCAAACAGCATTTACATACACTACATAGACGAATGCACACGAATCGAGCATTTTTGCAGAGTTATTTGCATAGTGTTTTTTTGTTTTTTTTTTTTTGTTTTTTGGTAGCGTTCAAAGCTTCATCTTTAGTTGTAGCAGACGTAGCTTTTAGTATATTTAGTTTGTGTGGACCAGGCACTGCTTGTAGTACATTTTATTTGAAGCACTAAACATAAATTCTATTTTATAGCATTTCTAGTTCTTTCTTTATTATTTTACTATATTTTTTATTTCACTCTACTTTTTCACTCTCATGTTTCAATTTAAGTTTATTTTCGTTTTTCCACCATTTTATTTATTGCTTTCTCCAACGCATTCTGGCGAAATTTGTTGAAAACAAATACAAACCATCAAACAATTTCCCCCCCCCTTCAATGCAATTGATGTATCGAAAATGTAATATAAATTCACAACAAAAACAAAATCACCAAAAACGACATGCTTCCATTTTTCCTCTGCTCTGGCGTGGACACTCGATACTTTCTCTCCATTTGCGTTTACCAAACACCAACAAACATATATACGTATGTACACACCGCAACAACCATGTCTTGCCCGCCTACCAACGCGCCATCCGATCGTCATTATGCATCCGTCCATGCAATCGCCATCACTGAACCATGCAACTAAATAATCAACCAACCTGAACAACAACCCAACCATTCGAACACGCGCCCACTCGGCGGTGCGTCTGCAGCAAGAGGGAGCGAACGATGGCGCCGAGGAGTTGGGTATTGCCAATTTGGGTGGAGTGTTTTTTGTGTTATGCGTTGGCAGTGTGTTTGCCAGCGTATACGGCTTACTGGAGTGGCTTCGTTATGTTTATGGAACAGCGCGTCGCAACAAGGTACACGTGTGGCAATACCTATATCAGGTATAAGAGTGCCTTAAGGTTGCTTGAAAAGAACTCGATTTGTGTTTCCTACTAATGTTTTGGATTAGCATAGGCTGAGTGTATTTTTTATACATTGTGGGTAATTGATAATAAACAAGACTAATTAGGATGCTTATGTTTTTATACTTTAGCAACATGTTACACAAGAGCGTAAGAGTTTCGTTTCCCCAATGGTTGTTTGCAAGACTTATATTAAACTGCTTATATCTAGACTTATGTATAATAAATTGTTAAGTATTGTTTTCCAAATTCTTGCCCATCCATCTTAATGAACTGGCAATCAGTTGAAAGTGACCACTACAATACGGTTTTCCTAACTGGGCAGAAGCGGACCATTACCACGCCCAAACTGCAAATCTATCTAAGCAAATTAACTCCGTATGAAATTATTTTGAATTTGACCAGCTTTAGTCAGCTTAAATCGATTTTGATGTTCAGGGTCCCCTCATTTGTTTTTATACCATATATGATATATGTCGGACAGTATGAGAGGTAAATTATTGCAGTAAGTGAGTTTCTCTTACTGACAATAACATGGTTTTATAACAAAAATGTGTAAAATCACTCTCTTGGTTCCCATATACCTAATATAATTTAATTTTTTCTTCTGACTTATTCTATAGCGTGTCTTGCTCTAGAGTTTTTGTCCAAAATGATTTCCCACACCGATGGAAGTATCTCTTCGGGTCTTTTCCACTATTTTTCAGATGATGCAAAGCTGCTGGATTATATGTGCCACAATTTTTAAACCAAAAAGCTGCAGACCAAAGATTGGTCGCAGTAAATACAAAATGTGTCTTATAATGGCTGTTGGTCCTCTGTCAATCGTAAAAAACTCATAAAATCCACCAGCTGTTTGAAGCTGGTTTCACACTTTTAGAACCATCCGCTACTTAGATAACGTAAGGAAGAACACTGAAAAGAGCAGAATGTTGGTCAAAAATCCAGGAAATCTTTAAGCATCCAATATTTGAATTGAAAACTTAGATATAAAATATAATGAACTTATATTATAAAAACAAAGCATATGTTAAGATTTTCGGCAGAACTTTTCAAGCAACCGCCATGCATGTGTTTATGTGTGCTAACTTGTTGTATTAATGAATATTCCAGATGAAGTAAATTTATATTTTTTTACGCCTGTAATCGTCGTTGGTGATTTATTTAAAATTGTAATAACTATTACACGTTGTAATTCCGGCTTACTAAACAGTTATGTCTGTTAAGCCTGTGTGTTTGTAAGTAATTAAATAAATATAGCACATCAGACTAAAAACTCCGCTTTCACTACCACACTCACCCGCTCACCCACTATCGAAGCACACACCCACTCTTCCGCTTCTCTTGCATCCAACGAATGTGTGTATATGTACATATATATATTTGTGCTTACATATTTATATGATATATTCTACTTAATCTAATGATTTCTTGCATTTACTTATTTTCGCCGCCATCAAACCGCGCAGGTGTCCTTCAAGACCGAACTCATCGAGGAGTTCCGCTTCGTTATGCAATGCTCCGGTAACACAAGACCCGTCAAATATCCAAAGAATTCAAGTCGCAGCCGTAGCCGCAGTTCTCGTTCCCGTTCACGTTCCAGTTCGAAGAGTTCTGCATTGTCCGTGGATTCTTTGCCGATGGATGAGAGTAAATTACATCACATTAGCGAGCACACAAAGCACGCCAAGTGAGTGCAGGCCAAGGAATGAGGATAAAGTGAAGGTTTTAACATCGCGTCTTTAAATGGCTTTTTGGTGTTTTATTCTTATTTGTATTTTATCGTTAAGTATGTTGTTAATGGTATTCGTTGTGCCGCATTTACTTTAAACTGTTGTATCATAATATCACTTTCCGGAAAATAGTTTGTTGTTCGTTATTAACTCATGTGTTTTTCTAAGATTAAACCAAAGCGTTATCTGGGTAAAAACTCAGTTCAGAAATTCAATCTGGAATAAGTTTTACACAGTTATATAGCTAGTTAACCACCATCATAACTTGATTAGACGTCCGTGACTAGCTGTTAGCCTTTGCTCCAAATCTGCTGTGACCTATCCATAAGAAGGGGTATATACCTATATACATATATTCTAAGGGTATTGTATATTAGAAGAATCTCTTCTATTTTTTGTAACTATATTGAAAAAACTGAACTTTTAATAATTGTCAGATATTTTGTCGGACGTAAAGATTATTTGCTTAAAAAGTTGTCAACAAATTCTAAAAGGGTAAAGAGAAATTAGTTAATAAGTCAAAAGCATACATATTTAAGCTATATAAATAATGAGAGTTTTTCCCGAGAGAGGGTAATAACAGAAATACTATACAATCGAAACTTGAAATTCCTATCTAATCCCAAGCCCAACCACATATTTGAGCTCTGCACTTTATTGAAACTGATTAGGGTCTCAGCTAAGCTTGTCGTCTACATATACGAGTATGTATATATAATTTGTATATATATATATGTATAGTTGGGACATTATTCAAATTTAAAAGATCAAATCAATTGCAGCGAGACTAACGAATAACCTGTCTGTCAAGGAGAAGTAATAACAGTTAAAGATTTCAAAATATTGTTTTTGCCAAACTTGCAAATCATTAAATTCCACATATTTCCTTGCTTTTGAGACATTCTGTATTGTAATGAATAAACCAATTTCTACCCATAGATGTCGCTCAACCCTTAGCAAAGTAATTAAATATAATTTGTATAATTTTGGGTCAAAGCTTTCCAGTAAGCTTTTTAAACTTATTAAGCAAAAGCTTTCGAAACGCACAGAAGCAAAAGATTGACTAAAACCAGAGAACGTATATTATAATAACAGCTAATCCATATTATTATATACATACTAATATTATAATATACGTTCTCTGCTAAAACAAGTAAAAGCTTTTTTTACAATAAGCTCTAAAATATTATCTCTCATTAAAAAAAAGTTATATATACTTATGTGTAGCTGAAGGCTCTGGACATATATACATATATATCACTGGGAAATGAATATAGAATATACATGTGTATATTACAAACGAAATAAATACCAGCCATATTATTAAGCTCATTTTGAATTATTTAAGGTGTTATAACTCCTTGTGAATTTCTAAAAATCGATCTCTTTGCATATCCCATATATCGAATGTAGATATTTTTGAGAATGTTTTCCAAAAAATTGAAGTTTACAACATATTATAAAAGGCTACCGAATTTTTAATACGAATTCTCGAAACTTCAATACGACATTCCTAGATATATTTATATAAATGTTTTCCCAAAAACTACTCTCTTTTTGAGTAGAAGCCATTTGGCCAAAAATCAAAATTTTGACTTGAATTATCTTAATTTTTATAAATTAATTATAATATTGAAATAATTTTTTTTGTTTTTGAATATGAAATAAGTTTAAGCAGCAAAATCTTCCTCACCGCCAGACACCAGAGCTCCAAAATCTCTTCCCGGAGATCGCCTACGGGTTCAAGAAAATCCAAAAGTTTTCAAAATGAATCATCGATTATAAAACTGAACTGAATTCAGAAAATGTACATTATTTTTATTATTTATTAAATAAATAAAATGCCTTTTAATAAAAAAGAAATCAGAAAAAACACGTTTGTAAGAAACTTTGGAATTTCTAAAGAACGCCATTTTTTTTTAAAATAAAATAAAGTGTTTTTTCAACGATTTCAGTAATTTTTATTAGTTTCATCCAAATATGCACATTCAGTTAGACACTTAGAAATGGAAAAGGTATTTATTTCACGCTCAGTTTTGCTTCAAATATCAGTTACAGTAAGATTTCATTTTCATATTTGTTTGCTAGCGTTAAGTCATATTTTTTGATTAGCTTCTCAATACATACATATATATTTTTATAGTTATTTGTTAATATATAAGTTTATATATTTTATTTTACTTTGTAAACTTTACTTCGCTTAGATAATATGTTTTCTCAAAGAAACAAATATTTATAGATTCCAGTTTTTGTTCGCTAAGTTGTTTGTCCTGTAGAAAGAACTGTTGTGTGTAGAGCCTTTAAGTTCCGTTTCCGTTTGGTGGGTTTAGTTTTTGATAGAGTATGTGTGATATTATTATTATAGTGTTTCCATGTTCTTTATGTTCTTTTAGAAAGTGTAAGATAAAGTCACTAGAGAAACATAGCTACATATATAGATGGGTATGTAAGTGGTTTTTCCAAAAGTCCCTATTTTGAGTTGTCATAGTTCTAGATGTATACTTTTACCGTGTGTATATGTATATAGATATATTTATGTTATTATATATGTATATATGTTTATTATTTGTACGAGTTCTTATAAAAATTGTTAAATAACGAAGACATGTGTTACTATATTGAATATTAAATCATAATCACATTTAGGTTTTGGTTTTAGTGTAACTTTTTTTTTAAGTTTATCTTAAAAAGCTCTAAATTCAAAGCTATTAATCCATATCCATTTTTTTAAAGCAAGTTTAAAGTGTTGGAGTTTTAAGTTATTGCTAAGCATAAAATAAAAATATGCTGTTTTGGGATTTAAAATAATAAATCGAGAATTTTGACATACTTCAGTTTTTGAATTTTTTTTGTAAATGTATATTATTTTCTGATGGAGGAGATATATGAAACCACGCTATTTAAACTAAGAATTTCTTTGCATTACATTTCATATATTTTTATCTTAATGGACAATCAAAATAGGATCTCACTTTTCCGAAAAATATACTATTAGTCGAAATAATACAATTACTATTACTAGCTGTCGTTACATTCAGAGAGTAAAAAGTATTTTTAAGCAAATAGCTTTACGCTGTCGATATTGATTCGCTCAGTTTTGAAAGTAACGATTATGTTGGAATAAACTAATATTAGCCTCTGACAAAAATTTTAAAAAAATTACAACAAATTAAAAAAAAATTTTGTAGAATTTGAACGAGATGTAACCACAAATCTCTTAGAAAAAGGGGAAAATGCGTTCCTACCTCTATTAAGACTGTTTTATTTACTCTATTTAAGTTTATTTGTCTTGCAATTTCTCAAATACCATTGAACTGAAATTGAAGCTAAAAAAATCATAATTCACCAAAATGAATTTGTACCACACTTTATAGTTAATATTCTAAATTTAGTATTTGTTTACAGATACAATTCAGTGTTTTTAAAAATATGAAAAGTTCTTAAGCACTTTACAAATTAAAGCTCACAGATAATCATGTAATAGTATCGCTATGTGTGTTTGATTAATTTATAATTTATGCATATGCTAATTTTGCTAATTAAACTTACAATTTTGATTACTTTATCAATTGCTTTATATATGTAGTAGTTTTTGATATATTTTCTCTTATTTAATTTCTTGTTCAAGAATTTATTGCATGCAATATATGCTTACGATTTAATTTATTAAAGTGTTAATATTTTCTTTCAAATATATAATTTGTGTTTTAACTAATACTTTGTTATTTTGTTTCTATGCAAAATCACGACATATCAAAACTCTGCGTTTCTTTCAAGTAAGCGTATAATTTGAATATTTTTTCATATTTTCCAATATTTATTTTATATTTTGATTACAAATTAGTAATTTTTCTCCTTCTATTTTGTTTTTGGTTTTACATTTTGATTATAGTTACTTTTTATAACTGCTTTAGGCTTCGAGTAAGCATATATTTCTGCTCTCTTATCAATATTCATGTATTTGTCGTATAAATAAATATTTTTGTACAAATTTACCATACAAATGTACCATTATATATCTGTATGTGTGTAGATACCGTAATTTAGTTTAGATTAACAGTTTTTTATTACATTTTAACTAATTAATAGTAGTGTGTGTTTTCGAATATTTTTTTCTTTTTCATGATTTCTGTAATCTTATTTGTATATGTTATGTGAGAAGCTGAATGAGTTTTGTTGCATCTCACAAAAACATATTTAGTAAAAAAAAAATTAAATAATTTAAAAAGTTAAGCTATGATGCACAATAGCTGACTTCAGATAATCTCATCATCATTATATTTAAAAAATTCGTTTGCGATAATAAAAGTACCAAAGCGAACAATATTTACTGAATAATTAATAAAAAATTTCACTATATAATAAAAATTTACATCGCTTGCTTGCTCTTGGCTCCATGGCTAGTAAATGCTCTCGATCGAAAGTACGTTATTAATGAGGTACATATAGTAGAAAGACTTGTCGAAATTTTTGGAAATTTTACTCCATGCGTAAATTATATACTTTATATGAGTTTTCAAAGAGTATAAAAGTTTCAATAGGTCATGTGAAATCGTCAAAAAAAATAAATGGCCATTATAGACTCATTAGGAAATCATAAAGAACAGTAAGAATAATTTCAGTCAGTCATGTAATGTCTTCGTGCAATCTATTAAGCATTCCTCTGTAACTTATTATGTTGCCTGATGCAACTCATTATGATATATGTTCTTAAAACTTTCTAATAAGCTTCGAAACTCTTGATTCTTCTAATTTATGCTAAGTCAACAGGCCATGCTGCTCAGTGTGCTTAACATATAATTTAGTGAGACCGTCAAATTCGGTAATTTTTATATAAATGTTTAAACCAAAAAAAGTTTTAACTCGAAATTTACCTTAAACATTTTTATTTTTCTTACCATAAGACATATGAACCTGGATTTCCATCAGGCCCAAATATTAATTGAACATGCGTGCTTTAGAAGCTACCTCTACAGATTTCCATCACTACATTAGTTCGAACTGTCCGTCATGTACAGAGTGCAAATAAGATTCACTAAATACAAGAGAAAAACTACACTCGGTGGTAGTTTTACGGTGAAAAATTTGACGACAAAATAGACATTTTCAATAAATTTGACGTCCGTCAGTCCGCATAATTGAGGAAATTTAAATGTCCTTTCACTCGTACGAAGTATTACTTAATCCGGTGGTTCCGTAGGAGAGTCTTGAGTTGGAAGCTTCCCGCTACTATAAAACAAAGAGGACATGTTAGCTCAAGGTAGGTCTGCCTGTCAGTTTGAACAGTTGCTATAGTTTGTTTGACTCGCCACACTCTAACGCCTGATACAACATAGACAGTTAGTATATGATATATAGCCTTGAAGTTAAAAAATTAATTAGAAATTTACTAAATTACAAATTATATTTTTACTCTTCTTAAGAAAATATTTTTTTGTCTAATTTTTTTAAAAATATTTTTCGGGAATAATTCCCGGATATTGTCTAACTATAGTTAATCATGTATATTTGTTTGTATATGTTTCATATTCATGTGACATTTGTGTACTTTGCATAGATTTATGTTAAACATTTTTGTTTGTGAAGTATTTAGATGTACGATTACTCGAAACAGTTTTGTTTTCAGGCTCAAAGTTAAGAAATTGTCTGTTTGGTTTGTTTTTGTTATTTGTTTATGTTGTTCCATTATTTTTTTCTGTTTTTGTTGTTTCGCTAATTTATCAATTCGGTTCAAAATTTGTGTTGCTGAAGTTTTGTTGTGCTTTAATCTGCTAGAATTTACGTTTTAATGCGTTTTCTGTTTAATTTTTTGTCGCACTGTAAGATATGTACATTCTTAAGTTGCTGAGTTCGAGTGTTGTTACAACAAATTTGGCTATAAAACGCGTGTTTTTCATTTGTTGTGTTTGTTGTTTTGAGTTATCGTAAATTTGTAAAATAACGGTACAAATTTAATTGTTGCTACTTATTCGCACACATGTAAGTTTCTAGCTATAAAATATTTAATGTACTGCATATGTATATATTTATATATATGTGTGTGTGTGATTGTGTATGTGTGATTCATACAAGCCGTTGGTGATACTTAGCAATTCATTTGTTGCTGTTGTAGGAGATGTAGCTTGTTGTAAACTCTTAAGAAAGCAATTTAAGCGCACATTTATAGTTGTAAAAGGGTTTGTTAATATTTACTGTTTGTATTTTATAGCTGCTACATGCCGCAGCAAAGCAGCTCAACGCACAGCAGCAGGATTATATATGTGTACATGTGTGTGTGTGTGTGTATGTGTATATGTAATTGGTGGTGTCCTGTTTACTGTAGTTCTTAGTTCGGTGGTATAATTTGTTGGTACTTGGAAGTAGTTACCTTTAGTGCTCAACTTATACGCATATACATTTTTACTAACTTTAATATGTGTGTATGCATGTGTATGTATATCTGTTTGTGTTTGTAATGCGTTTGCAAAAATGCCTGTCCTTTGCACAACAATTTATCGAATGCTCGAATTCTTGGCATTTTACTTGGTAAATAACGCTGTGGCAAGCTACGGGTGATATTTTTGCTTGAAAGGCAATAATTGTGTTCACACACATACAAACAGAATGTCTCCAAGTATGTGCGATGTCTGTATGTAGGTACAAGTGAAAATAGTTTAAATTCTTGTTTGGTAAGTTTTTTCTGTTTGTTTGTTTGTTTGTATATAAATTGTTACATTTTAAGTACTTATGTTGGCTAGTGAACTGCTTTATAAAGCCATTTAATGTAATTTAATACTTGTTTCATTATTAATTTAACTTAAAGACTAAGCTTTACAAACCGTTATAAACGCTGGAGATTATGCAATTTAATTTTACACACATATATCTATTTGTATTTGCTTTACTAGTTCCATATATTACTTGGCTATTTACTTTGGCGTTAGTTTCGCATAAAAATTGTACCTAAATATTGTGTTCTTCTTGTATTTGACTTCATATTTTTTGCTTTTTAGTGTATGTATGCATGTCACACATTCACTTTCTGTTTTTTCATCTATAATTTTGTAATACACCGTTTAGTTGTTGATTTCATGACAAACTTCCATATAATCCGGATCGTGCATAATGCCTTTGATCATGTCTTTGAGCATTGTGTAACGCGGGAAAATCGGATACATTTTGGAGCTGCCATAATCTTCCTGGAAATACATAATATGCATCATTTTTATTCGAGTACTTATATTATTTGTATTCAATATAATAAAGAGCTTCTCAATCTAATGTCAATAATGGACTTAATTTTAATACATTCCTAAGAGCGGCCATAAGTATGTCATATGTATATAAATAATAAATTATATATTTTTCGTCTTTTGTTAGGTTATATAGGTTATGTTATATATCAAATGTTTTTTGAGCTACAGTTTAGCCGCACAGTACAATTAGCTTCGCCGGTTAATCTTTAAACGCGTTTTTCTCGTTTTTTTCATAAGCACATTTTTCGAATTCACTGCAGTGATTACTCGGCGTCAAATGATCCCATCACTGTAGCATTTTTTCGGCATATAGTTTTCCATCTGATCAAAAATCGAATTTTGGGTAAAATTAAACCTTTTTTTTAAATTTTTTCGACCGTCGGTTTTTGTATGGATAACATCTTCTAGAGAGAATTTCCTTTAAGTTTCATCCACGGATAACTCCGGAGCGACTGAAGAGGACATTTTTTTTAGCGCCGTCGGAGATCGTGTGTAATTCAAAACGTATAAAATTTTTTCTTCAAAAATTTTACTTCATATTCCTAAAATATTTTTAAATATACCTTTAAATTAAATACATATATATATTAAAATTATTAAATATATTAAAAGTTTCAAACAATTGATACAGTATTTTTTTCTTTTAATTCTCAAAAATCAGGGTTTTTAGGCTGTCCACTAGGTGTGCCCCTTCATATGGATACATAGTGGCAGAGAGATTTGTATTTGGTTGAGTACAGAAACCTTTCAGATGCGAGTGTATTCCATGAGAATTTAGAAAATCCAAGTATTAGTAAATTGGTATTCTAGTAAAAAGTGACGAAAAATTGCCAAAAATCTTCATACTCTTACTATTTGGTAATTAAACGTCTTGAGCTTATACGGTGCAGACATATAGGGTATATGTATATAAAAAAAAGACCGTAAAAATGAGAAGAATTTAAACGAAGGAAACGAAAGAAGAACGACCTTCAGGAGATGAAAAAATTTTAAAATTTCAACATGCTTGTAATTCTACGACTTGGTGAGAAGATTTGTCGTTAAATTGGCAATTCTTGTCTGTAGTACTGATGAATAAGTACTAACACTACTACACTAACTGTCGATACGTCCCTCAGTTTTGTATCCGTTCAGTTTTCTGATAGTCACTGATTGGTCCCTTCTAACGAAAAACCAAGCAGTTACATACATATATTTGCATTTCTGAGGAGTATGTAACAAAATATTTCCTCTAAGGTAATGGATTAAAGTAAACTCTGTTCGATCGATAAATTTTGCTCTCCGAGATATTTCGAACAAACAAGCACGACCTTATTCCACAAAATAATATTACGTAAGTTTGAAGTGCTATGAATAATGTACATTTTTTAGTATGTAGCAATTTTTAATTGTTGCAATAATAGCGATAATCAATACCAAATTATTTATGTTTGTTGCTACTAAGGCGAAATGATTTCTTGTAATTTCACAGATTTAAATAAATATTTATCGCTTACACTCACCTTGAGCACTCTGATTAAATGCCGCAGTCCCAAGTATTTTTTCAGCAGCCGATATAAATCATTTATGAGTTGTGTATTCTCGTGTTCGATTTGTGCTGTGGTCATAACTGTAAACAACGAGCTTCTTATTACAAAAATAATTACATGCAAAACCGCGCACTCACCTTCCAAACGCTCCATGCGTTCACGTTTCTCCGCTGCTTCCTCGGCCAATTTGGCAGAAGTTTTCACACCTTCACCTGATTTCTGTGTTTTCTCCATAATCGCACAAGCACGCATCACATATGAGGGCACGGTCTCTTGTTTCTCCTGCCTGGGTATGTCAATCAGCGTCCAATATTGCGTCTCCAAGCGTATAACGTCCTGAAGAAATAAATTAAATTTTTATATATATTTTTTATTTAATTATTTTTAACTACCGCACACTCTATGGTATAATCTCTGTTTATGAAATATAAATATTCACACTCACTTTGATCATCATCTTCAGCATTGGATAACGCTGGAACACATTGCGTTGACTCTTCGAATCGCCATATTTATTCATGAGCTGTATAAGCGCTTTCTTAGCTGTCTCGTATGACTCCTCCAGCCGCAAGCGTAGAGCTCTTAAACGTTCATTGGTATCGATAACCTCGTCGCGTGTCATGCCACCTGCAAGGATTTATAGATTAAATTAAAAAAATTTGTTTTATGACAGTCTTTTTTACTTGGCGCTCCTTCGTCCTTGACATCTTGCACAATGCGACGGACACTCTGCGTAAATTTCCCCACAAAATTTGTGGTTGCTAAAAATAGGAAAAGAATATCGGCGATTTATATATTATAATATATCTATGTATGCATGTATAAGCATTTAAAGTCTTGTTAATGATTTCAATTTTTTTTTTTAATTTTATTTGAATATTTTTTTGTTCATGGAGATACCGTATTTTTTAAGAAAACAAAATAAGTATCATTTGAGCATTGTTTTTTACCCATACTTATTATAAAGTATATACTAAAAATAATAAAATCTCATAATTGTGGCTGATTCTTAACATCAAATACTTTTTTTTTTTGAAATTTTTATTGTTTTCGTATTTTGAGTTTTTGTAATTATTTTTATGTATTGTGTAATATATTATATGTAATTATGCTCAGCTAAAGAACCTTGTTGAAAGTGCGATTAATAATTTTTGTTTAATACTTTATTATTGAATAAATATCTAAACATAAATCAATAAATAATAAAATTAAAATTATGTTAAAATATTTTGTAATGTTTTTTTTTTGTTATTTTTGTTATAATTTTGTATATTAGAATTTTCTTTTTATTTAGTTTGTTTTTATAGCTTTTGTAATATAATAATAATAATAATAATAATACTAATATTAATAATAATATTAATAATATTAATATTACAAAATAAAGTTAAAAATAAAAACTCTGAGTAAACTTTTTGGCTTATCGCTATAAATTAAACAAAAAATGTTGGGAAATTCTCATAACACTATCATTTATGAACAAATGTAGCAGCAGAGAGAACGACTCTTAATTTTTATCTACGATCTATGTGGAAATGAACCAGCCATGGACAGATTTCAAATGAAACCAGTTGGTACATTATGCCAATATAAATCGCAATCGTAGTATATTTATAATTTATAATAATTCACCATCCAATTCTATACTCTTTTACAAAATTACTCTCTTTTACTACTATTCGATAAATTACAAGTTAGGACTCTGCTGGGATTCGAACCTGAGACGCCAAAATAGCTTTCCGTCTTCACAAGCATTTCAGCACGCTTAGCTAACAAATAACAATAAAATAATTCTGCATGTGCAGTTATTAACGTGAGAGAGTATGAGCAGCTATTTATATTGTCTCTCTTTGTTGATAATCAGATACAGATGGCGCTCTTAACATTTGCTTTATATGTTTTTATAATTTGTGCGCGAATAAGCGACATCTGAAAAAAATTACCTGAGAGTCTTAACATTGAATAGAATTACTCTCTGCAACTCCTACCTTTATGTTAGGCTAGAAAATATTAATTAACATGCGCTGGCATTGATTTGTGTGCATGTATGCATCGATAATGCTAAGCCAATCATAGGCTTGCTTATATTTGCTGATTTTTTTTGTTTTCAACACTTGATTGCAAATTTTTAGAACCACCAAATACCGTAGAAACTTGCTCGGGAATAAGTTAAAAACTACAAGGCGTTTACGGAATCTTTTTGTAAAGGCTTTTTACCTCGCTTGTGCATTAGCACACATCTTTCATGAAGAAATGAAGAAGGACGTTTTGTAATAAACTCTAAATAACTAAAGCTAAACTAGAATATAATCAAAAATGGTACTAAGTACATACACTATTTCGAATATATAGATATTTAAGGCATAAAGTCAGTGTAGAAGCTAGAAAATGTATGTTCCTATTTTTTACATTTTTAGATCAGGTATGCCTCTTGAAAACACTATGTGTGCTAAAGAAGGAAGCGCATTCGTAATGTATCTTAAACTATCATTTTCATAGACAAACTGACGAACGAGCAGACATTCGAAAGTCAATTCGTCCCACCATCTTGTTCCTGCTACATCCACCTCGATTAGTTTTAGATGTTACAAACTACCTTTAGGAGAACAAAGTTTTAAACTCGTAACATGGTTGCTATGGTAGAGCAGTTTTTAAGGCAAAAGTGATATTAACTTTTAAAATAAAATTCAAACAATTAATCATTGTTATAAATATTTAATTATTTATTATATCAGTTTTATGCGTTGACTCAACTGTGGTTTGTAATTTTGTTATTTAAAATTTCGAACTTGAACTTTGCTCGTCTTTAAGTACAATCTCGTAGTTATTACGTTCATTTAAAATTTTTAATCAGGCGATTCCCCATATTATTGACTCATAAGCCGAACCTAATGTCTTTTGAATAAAGATGTATGTAAAAACGCATGCGCAAAGGCGCGCTTGTATGAATTTATATACTGTTGTACTACATATATATTGAGAATTGCCTTATCAATTAAGTAAAAGTTTTGCGAGCAATGCAAATATACATTTTCATACAAGCATGCATGTATATGTAATGTAGACATACTACATATACAGTAGGGAGCACAAATGAGTACATGTTTGTGATTCGTATATTTATTCCTGCATAATGGTAAATATACGAATCACACACAAGTACTCATTTGTGCTCCCTACTGTAAGTATGTATTCAAAATCTTAAAATAATAAGAACCTTATATCAGCTTGTATCGTTTATTATTAAGAAACTTATTTTTTGACTACTCAAATCTTCTTATCAGTTAGAAATATGCGCTTTACAAGTATTTTTGGGGAATTTTGGGTTGTTTAATGTATTAATATATATATTTTTAAAATTTTTCATTATCAACTCCCTTACCCTCTTAAAATTTCTGTTTGATGTAAAAAATCGTCGTCGAAAAATAATTCCAAAAATATATTTAATATTCTAAAAGTTGAGTCTTTGAGCTTTACTAAACTCTAAGACAGAATGTGATTATCTTTTCAAGAGCAGTAGTTACAGTCATTAGAAAATATTAAATGTTAAAAGGTAGAAATGAATTTAAATTTGTTTGGAAGCACCCTAATATGCACATATACATGGCAGGGAAGTACACAAGTTGGCTCTTAACGATGGTGGCAATATTGTCAGACCTATCGTCGCCAGCCTATATAGCTTTAAGCAAGGAGCTAGAGCAATTGTCGTTCCGCTTAATTAACTTATAGGATGTTAAAGATGTGGAAGTGATGTAGACGCTTTATCTTTAAAATACAAAGAACATAAAATAATTTAAACTTATTGCCATAGTTCCCGAATGTGCCGCCTTTGCCAGATCAATTTTAATACAAAATAGCGGAACTGCAGAAGAGTTAAACATCCAATTACAGTTTTCCTCTGGCTTGACAAGGGACTTTATATAGCAGTCTAAGTATGTTCTCCTCGTCGTCCTGATGCATCGGCTATCTAATCGAGCCATAAATATCCAGAACAATTTTTGCTCTTCGCAAAACTTTTCCAAAATCTCATTTACTGATTTCAGATGTTATTCGGGATAGACTATCAAATTATATAAGTGACTTAATGCTTAATGCGAAAGAGAGGAACCATGAATTTATCGAACGATTAACGGTACTAAAGAGAAAATGTAAAATGGTGTGATTTATTGCTGAATCCATTCATACTCCTCCAATTGCCAGTATGCTAGCACAAACATAATTTTTTTATGTAGGTTACTGAAATACTTGTCAAATTGAACCATGTCCATCTGTATATACTCGAACTATTCAGTTTTTGAGACATTGACCTTAAACTTTGCACACGTTATATATAGTTGCCCTTATAAATGCACTTGCGAAGGGTGTTATAGTTTCGGTGCAGTCGAAGATAACTTTTTTCTTGTTTGTAAGCTAAGCTCTTTTTTATTACGTAGGTCTGTCACATTTACTAAAATAGAAAAGGTAGTATTTTTTTTATAGTTCTTATAAACTTATCTCCAATTTGAATACAAATACAATAACTGTAATTATTAATTTTGAGTAAGAATCAGCATAGTGTTAACGCATGAAACACCTTATAAGCGTGGCAACCCGTTAACTAGTTATAACCGACCGATCTTCCAAACAGGTTGTGGCGCTCATTGATGGCCAGACGACGTGCAAATAACTGAGAGAACCCATATATTCAACAGAAAAGGCACTTTGCCTATGCAAAGCATAAAAATGCGAGAAAGAATTCGCGTGTCATGATCCAAACGGTGAGCGCTGCGAGCAGTGCGAAAAGGCAAGACGAAGCGTTAACAACGCTACACGAAAGCGCGCAAGCGAAATACCAAAAAATCGTATCGAATAATTACATATACATAAATGTGTATGAGTGTATGTGTATGGTGGGCGCGGTAAATTGCAGTAAGACAAAAGGTCAAGTGTTAAAAAAGAAATCTGTTATTTATCACTCGGCGCACTGTGCAACAGTGTTCGCTGCAGAAGTTGCTGAACTTACGCGATTAGTGTCGAGCTCGTTGCAGCTCATCGGCATACTGAAACCAAAGTGAAATAGCGCAACGCACGAAACCTTGTAAATACAAAAATTATAATTTCTTTGTGTGAATGTGCGCAAGTTAAAAATACAAAATACTCGTATAAGCGAAATTTATAGTGGCTTTTCCTAGAACTACTTGAAATACAGCATCCGACTTTCATTGGTGCTGCAACGAATCGGCGGTAGCAAAGGTGGGTCGAGACGAATAGAACACGAGTGTTTTCACTAATTGCTCAAACAGCAATCGTGCTGAAAAGTATCTTTTATCTGCAATATCTGCCTCGGCGTACATCTGTAAGCTGTTGTGGGTGTGTATATATGAGAGTATATATTTATTTATTGTTGTCTTGCGTCGAACAAAAGTCAAATATTTATTTATGCTCAGAGGCAGAGTGACATATGCGGACGTGAGCGTTACTGACTTCACATCTTATGCGGTACTCACGTACACGTGCTTGTACTCTCATACTTAGCTCACACATTAGAAAAGATATCTGCGGGAGAGTAAAGTTATGCGTTATTTCGGAAGAGCATTATGCGAGAAAATGGCTTCATTGTGCTACAAAATATTGTTTACTTGATGAAAGCAAAAAGCGGTGATAGGTTAAATCTCTCAGAATGTATGTAGATTTGAAAGAATTTTTAGTAAATCTTTGTAAAATTCCAAACTCTGCAAATTTGAATGTTATAATATGTATATAACCAATATCGGAATTTTCGATTATCCGGAACTTCACCCTATATAGATTGGTGATGGTATGTGAGGTACCTTAATGAAACCCAGGGGTCATTTTATTTGTACGCGGCATATTAAAAGTATGTGATAATATACTATCCCCAACTCCCATATATAAATAGTGACTTCTGCTTAACAAAATCAAGTTAGATGGAACTCTTAGCTTTATAGTATCAGAATTACGTCTAAAGTTGGGGCCATTTTAATATTTGAACTGAAAATCTGCAACATTCTTAGAGCACATTTTCTTAAGATCCTATATCTTATTAATAATGGGTAGTTTCCATAATTAAAGTACTCAACATTCGATTTTTAAGAAGAATCGCAGAACTCCCGATTTGTAAAGTTATAATAATCACAAGAAGTCGAAGTCAGCGCTAAAAGTGTTGCCCTGCTTAACTTCAAATCAGACAATGGTAAAGAAGGTTAATTATATTTTTGTCTACGATAGGAAAACAAAATTGACATGCAATTTTATCGAACTAGATTTTTAAAAGTTTTTTACACGGCCTTATTTTTAGACCAATTTGAGGAAACTAACAGTTTTCTACAACATTTCTTTATATTCAAAATTTTTCTGCAGAAAATGTTTGTTTATAGAATGACTCTATTCTACTATTTAAAAAATATATGATACCTAAAACTTAACATTCCAAAGCACTCCATACTAAAAACCACTGGGTATTTGACAAACTATAGTTTTAATTGGCACAGAACATTGTAAAAAGTTATCAGCATTTAAATGAATTCCATCTGTTTCCCTTGCAATCGGTCATCACTGAAAAAGTTGAATGCTGCCGCTTATTGCTTTCATCTGTGGCGCGTAAATGCTCGGAAAATGATCTTGCTTTATGTGTTTTACTGAAACAAACGAGGTTGTGGATAAATCGACACCCATATGTAAAGATAATTGCTATCTAGTTATATACAAATGCCGGCATACCACTTACACAAATGGGTGGATATACTTATAAGCACATATGCTGCATCCGCTCATAGATCGATGGCCTGTGCAGTCAAGTTTTATTTTGTAACGAGGTCATTAAAGAAGCGTTCTTTAGTAAAAAATCAAAAAAAGTATATACATAGAAAGAAGCATATATAAACTAATGTATTTATATGTTTATAAATTTGTATTATTCCACGTATATTTCAGTTCTCATAATTTAAGTATTTGTTATGATATCCAAAGCAGGAAAATTCTCAGAAAATAAGTATTTTTTTGTATGCTTAACATATTATGTGCTTATGCTATAATGTGGACATAGCATTAGTTTTACGCTTTATTTTGGCGTTGTATACAAATTTAGTGAGTTGATTTTCCATAATTTCATATATACATTTTTATACATATACATATATGCATATAAATTTACTGTTTTATTAATATCGAAATTCGCATCGCCAGCAAAATGAATTGCATGTCTGCTCACTACTTTGCTTTAACTTCGCAATAAATTCTGCTTCCACTCGATAAGGCAGCAAACCAAATTTGTTCTATCAACTAAAAATTGGTGTATACATATAGCTACATATATGTATATACCATATATGTATGTATATATACACACGATATCGCACTTTTTATTCTGCTCATTCTTTTACAGTCTTGCAATTTTGGCCATTGACATTCTGTTTTATATAAAAAATTTACTGTGTATACAAAAGTTCAGACGATATATATACATATATGTACATCTCTGTGTATGATCAATGGTTTAGAGACTTTTCAAAATTTGTTGTAGTTGCGAATGGAGGTCAAAATAATTACTTGTTGTTGTTTAATTTCGTTGCACAGCAGCCCTACAGGGAAATTAAAGCTTTAATTTTAAACGTCAAAACTGCGACAAATATTTGCAATTCGGTTAAATTTTCTGCTTACCAATGAGATGGTCTAAGACACTAATATTTTAACCGTTTGAAACGATTTAAGAATTCGGCGTATTATTATTTCTTCAAAAAATTAAGGAAATAAAGCTTGGACAGCAATATTGTAAAGGAGGCTGTGTGGAAAGCATTCCTAGAAGTTTTGGTGTTGATTTACGAAATTTCTCTTATTAGAAGAAAATGACATCCCAAATGTCATAAACAATTTTCTGACTTCAAAGCAAAATACACTTTATACTTTTACAGTTGTTTAAATTTTATTACATACATTTTCCTTTGAGAAGATAGAATGTCGCCTCTACAATTCTGATGGATATTTCCTACTGGGCATGCCTAGCATATGTTCTAGAAGTTACTAACGTGTTAATTGTGACAGATTTATTGCATTAATTAATAATTACAATTTATTTAGGAGCTTTGGGTTCATATACGAGTATAATAACTATATATGGATATAATTGTATATAAGTTGTAATTATAGTCTCTATGTACAGAAGGAATTAACAGGTATTAGTAATAAAATTTCGTTTAATGACATAAAATTATACTTAACTATGGACTATTATTAGGTGCAATGCCAAAAATAAATCTGTATTTAAATAAATTCAGCTTTTAATTGACTCGATAATAAATATATCTAGTTGAAATCTTGAAAAATACGTTTTTTATTAAATGCAAATGATGAGATTCACAGCAGGTTCTTAGAATATGAACTAGTATCTGTGTTAATGGATCTCAAAAATATTTGCTCAGAATTTTTGTGGTGAAATATTTAAGAAATTTCGTGGTTTATGGGTTGATTTTTAAGAGCTACAATACAAGGTCAATATTTGAAGATCATTTTCATTTGTATAAATAAATTACTCACTTGATCTCCAAAGAAATCAAATTGAAACAAAAAAAACAATATATATATAAATATATTATTAAAATAAAGGTAATGTTTGCTTGAATCTCCAAAGACTTAAGAATATAATTTTCTTCTCCATACAACGGTTGCGCCCATTAATATTGTTTTAGGTATAACCTAAAATTTGTTAACATATATTTTTACATCCAAAGTGTTTGCTTTTATAATAGTCAGCACGAGAAAAGCTCATGATTGCTAAAATCTATAATATTATCAATGGCCGTGAGTGAGAGAAAATGGGTAAGAACTTGTTTGAAATTGTTGAGTTATTTCTGATGGATCTTCTTTTTGCACAAAATTTCGATGGGTTTCGACAATTGACTAAAATTTCTGTCTTTTCAAATTGAATAGTTTATATTTAATCAAACAACCCTTAAATATTCTTTTTATAAAAACAAATTAAAAATTGAGATTAATATGTTTTTAGTTTTATTAAGTCCAAATACTTTACTTTGAGCGTCTTGTTTTAAACATTTTCACAATATTTTAAATTTTGATAACAAAAAATCTCCACAAAAATAAGAAAATAACTATAAAACCTACACGTAAATCGTTTTAATGGTGGCAACGTCACATGTTTGACAATGGGCTGTAATATTGTCATACATTTTAAAGATAAACTACACTACCTTACTTTTTTGTTATATAAGAAACTTTTTTTTTCTGTCAGAAAAATATGATTCCTCCTTTTCAGGGTATATAAGATTATCTAACGAGCACAGTTTTTGAAATGATATTATGCGAAAATCACTTGAATCTTAAATAAATAAATAAAGAAAGATATTTGGTATAGTTAAGAATTTCCAAATTCGCTTTTGTAAACGTATGCTTTTGTAAATGCAGCTGACCTTGACAGGCACCCAGTTTTTAATTAATGAATTTAATTAATACAAACGATTGACTTTATATTTCCATACTGCAAAAATTAAAACTCAGAGTCAAGCACCCTGAAAAATCATTGTCAACTGGCTCCCTACAACTTTTCATGGAATTATATGTATGTGTATACTTGTAAGGTCTACATTTACCCTCATTAAAAATAATGTACAATAAAAAAAAAAAATACAATCCAATTGAATTAATAAGCACTTACACCTTCAATACAATGTTGCAATTCATTGCGTGCTTAGGTTTTTAAACTAATAATGAACTGAGAACGCAGCAATGAGTTAAAAAAAATAGTATGTATGTAGTAAAGCAAACAATAAAGAAACACATGGCATGAAGTAGCAATTAACTATTATATAATCAGGTTAATATGGGAAGAGCTGCTTTACTTATAACAACAGTTTTGACGGCGAGAAAATTTTGTAATTATATAACACCAATGTGTCGTTCGGGTGGTCATAAAAAATGAATAATTGAGAAACTTATTAAAATTTATTATTTAGTAATTACTTTTCTTTAAATCGTTCATGGTTAAATTATTTAAGGGTTAAGTAATAATATATTAAAGCGTATATAATTAATTTTTACTGTCGCAGAAAAGTGTATCAGGCCAGTGTGAAAGCCTTTGAAAATGGTAAAAATTAAAAAAGGGCATTTTCCATTGGCCTTGAAAAATAAAAAAATAAAAAAAATCTAAAGGAAAAATAATTTACGTGCGACCAAAGGTCGGGAAGAGAAAGCGGAAGCGCGTTGTTAAATTTATAAGGGTTAAAATGGTTTATCTCTATTTGCGCCAAACTACGAGTCCTATGAAAAAAAATGTATTTATAAAGTTATAGGTAATAAAAAGATCTACAACCTTTTTACATACCTTCAAATTTATGTAA